CATGGCAAAACAACGCGGTGAAGACATATATGTATATGTATATACGTTAGCATGCGGTTCAACAGAGATGCGACTCGACCTGGGAAACAATCAAACACAACTCGTCGCCTACGAAAACCCGTACTCGAGCACCTCCAGTCCCTTTTCTCTGAGCTCATTTACCGTTGCCTGTGACAGGAAGGAATTCATTTTATGCTGTCTGATTCGCAGTGTGTGGAGCACCGGATGGCGACTTTCAAGCATTGCTACCACAGTAGCTTCGGTGAGCCTGCAGAGCCAGGGGTCCATGTCCAGGGATTGGAGGTGGGGAACAAGACCATGTGTTATTAGCGCATCAACCAACTCTGCTGAAAGTGCTCTCTCGCTAATGGTGAGATGTAGGAGGCCGCGAACTTCGAGCGACCCGAGGATGGTAATGAGATCGCAGCCGGGTATGGTAACATCGAGGTGAAGGGAGGTGAGTGCGCATGCGGAGCGGCGTAGAAACAAGATGATGACGGAGGTGAGATCTTCATCGAGAGTCTCGAAATGGGAGCTCAAATGCCGGTCAGGGATGATACTGAGTTTCTTCAGGGATGGTGTGGATAGAGAGTTGAGCAGGTCTGCTACAAACTCCCGCGTGCAATGGCCGAATTCAAGCGCGCGGATGCGAGATTTCACGCTGAAAGTGAAACGGGGTGCTATATCCATGGGATAAACCCTGGTGTCGGCCGAGAGTAGCGGGAGGATCCGAGGTAGATCCTCGATGTGGACCCGACGGAGCTCGCACCTACGGAGTCGGGACCACGGGAACCTAGGAAGTGCAACCCGTTGTGCCAAGTCAACAAATCTAGAATCCATCCACAGTGTGAGCTCCTCTAATGCTGGAATGGACTCAAATGCTGGTCCAGGAGCGGCCTCAGAAGGATGGATGTCAGCCATTCCGTCTCTCGAGATTGCGATATTGAGTTTTTTCAAGGCCGGGAATGCATGCGTCGACGCAAAAAGGTCCCTGACGTCCGCGGGAGTGAGGCTGAGGTGGGCTTCCTCCCACCGTGGGGAGGCGTCCAGGAGCAGCGGTAGAGTTTGCGCGGCTCCGTCGGTAGAGGTACGGAAAGTGATGGAAAGTGGTGCGTCTGCGGAGCGCTCAAGTTGCATAGAAACATACTTGGTAGGACTCTGCATTTTAGGCTTGGTCCCGTCAATGTAGCGCCACAGACCTGGCGAAGTCGATGCGGTGGAATGCCATCGGCGAGAAACCAAAAGCAAGGGTTTCACATCGGAGGGCCCGGGCCTGGACCACGGACCGCAATCTCGGAGACAATGCCCAAATATCTCGACTAGGATATCGCGCGGAAGGCAGCGCACGACGGAAACTACGCCACGATGGTCATGCGCAAAGCGCTCGAGGTCCGTGCGCTGCGCGATCAGCGCGTCCATCGAGCGTTGGAGACGTTTTATTTCGGCGTTCAAGGCGCCGATATCCTCATCCACGCCACGTATGGTTTTCTTGATCTCCTGAGCCTGAAGATCGGAAGGAATCGCGTTGCTGAGAAGTAATTCGGGGTATGGGCTGCGGGGGTTCAGCTCCAATTTTTTCGCAGGGCCACAGTGTTCAGAGCAGAGGTGTTCGCAAGTATTTCTGAGGAGACACTAAGAGATTGCGCGGATTACTGGTAGCAACACTCACTGGCCCATGGGAGTTGAGAAGGAAGCCGTCAACCCCGGGCCGGGCGCCGCGGCGGTATGGTGGTGAGTCTCCGGAGCGTCGCAGAAAATCAAGTCGGGTAAGACCGAGCGTGAAGTCGCCAGCACTGGCACGGGTCTCAGATTTAGGGAAGCGTCATGCAATTTTTTCTACCGTGGCTACAACAAAATTTTACGCGATACCCAAAAGAGATAATCTGAGTCGGGATGCATCGCCTTTGTGCCTCTCGTTAAATGCTCTTTGCAGGCACTGTGGAAGAACGAGAGAGGGGAAGCACAACTCCCCGCTCGCTCCATATACACTCGCTTCCTCCCACCGAACAGGCGTAGGGAGGCGGCTGCTCCAACGCACGCAGCGACCCCAACTCGACGGGAAACGCGACGGAATGGACACATAGCAGCAGTCTAAGACTCCGAACTTCAATGTGACACATGAAACCGCACACTCGAGCCGCGGACAGACTCACGGGACGCCAAAGAAACTTGACTCCGCGAGACCGCCGAGCCAGACAGGAGTATACGGGACATGGAAATCTGCCAAGAAACAAAGACTCGTCAGTACAAGCCCGAGCCAACCAAGCAGACGCGCACCTCTCTGCGCCCAAAAGCGCCGGTAGTCGCAGTAGTATCATCCTACACACACAAAAAGAAAGGATAAAGTCAGTTAATGCCACACGCACAAAGTCGAATCCAAAACGAAAAGAAACAAGAAAGATAAAAACACGCTGTTGCACCAGCGCGAGACCTCGGGATGGTGGATGAACACGATCTCCGGCGGCGGCGGCGGCGGCAGCGCACGTCAATCTGAGTGCAAGGTGGATCCATGTTCCACCTTGAAGCAATGCACACGCGCGCCTTCGAAAAAAGAAAATGGAGCCAGGGAACCACCTCCGAACGAGTGCCTCGCATCCCTCGAACAAGCCTCGACGCCACCTCTGCTTCGCCTCCCCCCCCAACCAAGAAAAAAAGAAAGAAAAAGAAGAAGAGACAACGTACGCACCCAATGCTCGCATTATCGAACTCCCCACCCGTCCTTGTCCTCTCCGCCCGTCCTTCTTCTTCGGGGCTCGGCGCGGGCAAGCTCTCCAAATATGCTAAACTGACCCGCTCGTCGTCGTCCGTTTGAGACTGGGAAGAGAGGGAGTGCCGCACATAGGACACGTGGGCGTCGCTCCATCGCCATAGGCGGCCGCGCTGCCCTCGTCCCCCTCCCCAGCGCCACCATAGTCTTAGCATAAACCATCTGAAGGGGCGCAGGGATATACGAGTCGGGTGCTCGTTCTTGCTTGGTTTGCGGTGGTAAAAGCGGTGGAAGGGGAAGCGGGAGGAAAGGGGCGGAGCTCGATAAAGCATGTCGCCAGTGCCGACATCCTCCGTTGCGTGCAAGACCGCATCATCGTCCCCTCGCTTGCCTTCACCACGCACGAGGCATCTTCTCCTTCTTGCTCTTCCGCGTTCTATCCCCCGTGCTCCTGTACCTCCACAACCCCATTCCCTCGCTGATGGATAAGCCTAAGTACGTCGGGCCATCCGTCACCCAACTCACTGGGCGCCACAAGGGATAGCCCACGCCGGACTTCAGCGCGGCAGAGGACTGGGGGGAGGTTTCGTTCTATTCACTTTTGAAGGGGAGGAGGCGTTGGGCGACGTGAGCGATGTGTGGGCCGCTCTGGCGTTGTGAGAAAGCGTGGACGTGCTGTTCGGCGAAAGGGGAAAGAATGGGAACGTGGACGCGCCGGTGGGCGACCCGGGAGCGTTAGCGGACGTTACACTCGTCGGTGAGGGCAGTTGATGTTCAGGACGGGTGCCATGGCTGAAGGGGTGCTCGAGGTGGGGGATGGAAGCGTGTAGTGTAGGAGGAAGACGAGACGAGATCAGTTTCTGTCGTCCCGGGCAAAGCAAAACGGGGAGAGTGAAGGGCGAAGAACCACAGGGAAGGAAGAACAAGTGTACTCGTAGGACTTGTCGAAGGAGACGTAGGAGTAGTGGGTGCAAACGCCGTCGAAGGCAAAACCCTCCACGTCGCGGGCCTCTGGGCGCGCACGACACTGAGATTGGGGAGAACATGCCCGCGGGCGTCTGGGCGACGGGTGAGGCCTGGGGGAATAGGGCTGGCGCGTTGTCCTTGCCAGTTTCGCTAGTATATGGATCATCATGGATGTTTCCGGCGAAATTGGTGTGAGGCGCTCGAGGCGGGAAACTGTGCGCGACGCTTCTTCATGGCGAGACAGACGTGTTTCCGTGTCAGTTAACGGTGTTTTCCGTGTCTGTGTCTGTCCCGGTATTTCTGAGGTAGCCATCGAATTGTGGTCGAGAAGAGGAAGATGGACCGGCAACTAAATATTCGCCGCCCTTGCTCTCTCTTCCTCAACGACCACAACGACCAACTCCGCCGCGGCTCTGGCCTCCCCGGGGACAGCTATACCCTCCTCCTTGATGCACTCAGGCTAGTGTCGACCGGCTCGGGCTTGTTCGTCCCCGCTGCCCGCTTCCGAGGACTCGACTCTGCCACCACCGCCAAAAAATAATCTGAGCGCGCATTAACGGACTGCCTCTCGGAGGTCCCTTATAATGCACCATTTATCACCGCTAGTACTCTTTCGCTCGAGATAGTGTCTCTCATGTCGAGCAAACTATTCCCGTATCTCTCCCCAACGACCTCTGCGCCGCTCCGGTACCTTGATATCTCGCCATTCATTCCGTTAATGCAAGCCTACTATTCTAGGGTGACCTCTATCTGTCTTCCGTCTCACTGTTTCTATGCCAAACCATTGCCCCAAGCCTCAAGCTCAAGACCTAAAGGGACTCACAGTCGACACCTCTCCACTTGCCGAACAATACCACTCTCTCGAGTCTTCAGCAGACCCTGCACGCGTTAATTGTAGACTTGCTCACATCCAACAAAATATATGTACACGCAGTCCCGGCTGCGGTGCCTGCCTCGTCATCATTCATTCAATTAATGCATTGAAGCCTACTATTCCGGGCCCGTCTTTGTCTTCTATCTCTCACCGTCTCTATATCCTGAAGGCCTAAGCCTCGAGGTCTCCCACACTCGCCATCACAATCTCCCGGCCCTGCACGGCCTCAAATTTAATTCGGCGCTCTTTTAAAGCCGTAGTAACTCGTTCAGCGTCTCTGTCTCTGACCCATATTGTCGGAGTCCCGCTGTTCCCATCGCTCGTACCCCGTAATCACATAACAAACCTCCTCCTACTACTCTCCGTGCACCCCACCAATCCCAACCTCCCCCTCTCTAAATACGCATGTACTCCAACACGAAAAAAAAACCATCTCACCCAACTCTGGGCACATCACCCGACCCGGAATCGAACCGGGGCCCTCTGCTTAAGTGGAACCTATCCTCCTACTTAGTTCGAGCAGGTGCACACCATGTGCTACCAAGTGTTCTCAGTATGGCTCCTAAGGTTGTTTATGTGGGGTATCTTTTGAGTGAGTAGCACCAAGGCGGAGGAGGTCAACTTGAAGCCAAACTCAAAGAATAGCTAGAATAATCAATGTCAATGTCGATTTATTTACATACATACTCTCCTCCTCGACATTTGAATCCAACCCACCTGAGTCGATACGAAGGGTGAACAAAAGGCAAAAAAAAGCTTTGGAGAACCGATTATCACCAGACCCGGAATCGAACCGAGAGCCTCCTGCATAAACCTGGCTCAATATCTGAAGTGAAGCAGGTGCACACCATGTGCTATCGAGTGTCTGCCATGTAGCTCCCACTGTCTTCTATATGCACTACTGCGGAGCGAGGCAGGCTAAGGGGAAGGCGTGAAAGTGAAATCAACTCAACTCAACTCAATTCCAGTGGAACCTGTGTTCTTCTCTCAAACTTGAGTCCAACCTGATCTGTTGTGAAAGACCTGAGTGAAAAGGAAGCCGAGCAGGGAAGAAATGACTCCGAGAAGCAATATCACCCGACCCGGAATCGAACCGAAACCTCCTGCAGAACCATGCAGGATCGAAGCAGGTGAAGCAGGTGCACAGCATGTACTATAGAGTGTCTACTATGTAGTTCCTAAGGTTGTTTATGTGCACTACTTCTGAGCGAGTCAGGCTAAGGAAGGAAAGTGAAAAGGCAATCAACTCAAGTCAAATAAAATCAACAGAATCCGCTGAGCCTTTGTGTTCGACAGTCAAACCCATGTGAGTCAATACTAAGGGTGAACAAAAGGCAGAAAAAAGAGTCACTTGCTGCAGTACTGCATTATCACCCAACCCGGAAATGAACCGAGACCTCCTGCATGAATGTATGCACGTTCAAACCCAGGTGAAGCAGGTGCACACCATGTGCTATCGAGTGTCTACTATGTAGCTCCTATAGCCGTTTGCATAAGTCCGTGAAAACCCTTTTTTTTTTTTTTTTTTTTTTGCTCACGTGCTTTGGGCCGAGATGCCCGGGGTTTCAAAATCCTTCATTTGCAGTTCCTATGAAGTCCCTTATGCCTTAACTATGCCCAAATAATATTTTCAAATGTCCTGTGCACGGTGATCACAGGTGGGACTTGCCGAATGCGGCTGATCTAAAAACATTGATCTCCCTGTTCCCTAATGCCTGCCGACCACAAGGTATTCATGAAGTCAATATGCGGCAACCATGTCTGTTGGTGTTCTGGCCCAGGCAGTTGTAGGTGTCCAGTTGTTGGGTGGTTTGCCGCCAATGCCGGGCCATGCCGAGGGTACACTGGATGCCGAATCTGCTGGTATGCACTGAAGCTTTTGCTAGACACAATTTACAAATGGATACTAAATAACATAGGACAACACTACTTTTTCGGTCATGTTCACAACACTTTGAAAGGAGTTGTTATTTCATGTACACCCTTGATGCCGACAACGGCACGCACAAACCGGGAGTAAATGACATCGGAGGCGGCGCGGTAAAAGTTTGTGTACGCCTCACACTCTACAGGAATGAAATTTTCATCTGAAGAAAATTATAACTGCGGGGAGATGCCGAGGCGAGCTTACTCAACCGCTGCACATTACACACCGGACAGAAAATAGTCCCGAAGCAAAGTCAAGGGAGTATACCTAAATTATTCCATCCAGATAACCTCTGAGGGGACTCCAGTTGAGGGAGGAACTGAAAATGAAGGATTTTAAGAGTCCGGGCATCTCGGCCCAAAGCATGTGAGCCAAAAAAAACAACAACACGTTTTCACGGACTTATGCAAACGGCTGTAAGGTTGTTTATGCGCGGTATTTTTTTAGGGAGTCCAAGGCTAAGGGGAAGGCATGGAAAGAGAATCAACAACTCAAGTATAAACCAATTGGTGAACCCCGAACTCAAATGCAACCCAGCCCTATGAGTTCTGCGACCGGAGAGAAGAGCAAAAAAGAAACCACCCGTCTCTTATTACCCGACCTGGGATCGAACCGGGACCTTCTGCATAACCACATGGAAGCGAGTGCGTAAAAAGTAACTTATGTCAACTAACTTTACTTAACTTATCCCCTTCGGCGTCCCCGCCGTAAGTTGACTTGAGTTTTCCCACGCGTGCAGAATCTAACTTATTTCAAACTCCGCCGCAGGGCTACTACGTACCTAATCGACAGCGACTCAATTACTGTACCATTCCGTTCAAATCGACAGTCACGTGTCACGCACCCCCCTGTCGATATCGAATTTTCGTCGAGGTCACGCGTCACGAGGGTCGGTGTCGAATAGGTCCAGCGGTTCGTCACACCGCCAAAAAATCACGCAAAACAGTATAAAAATTGCTGTGGCTCCCTACCCTTACTAAGTGTCATTTAAACCAGTTCCTGGACCATTCTTACTCACAACTCTGAAATTTGAGCATGTAGTTGGGTTTCTGGCCTGAAATCAACCTAAAATGGCCTGCAAGAAATAACCTCAAAAAATGTCAGCGAGGATTCAGCTCACAATTCAAAATATTGGCTAGCTACCCCAGGAAATCATCTGCAACCTGAAGGCGGAATTTTAGGACTATATCGATTTTTTTCCCTCGTCACGCACCTTTCGGGTCGCTGTCAAATTGTCAAATTGGTTGAACATGTCACGCGTCACTCCCCCCTGCGATTTGAACGTAATGGTACAGTACTCTCATAGTCGATGTAGATCCACACAATTATCTGCTAGGACTATTGCCTGTGGGTCCTTTCCTCTGCAAGCCTTTGCATCGACCTCGGGTCCTCCGACTCGGAGCTTTGTTGGCTCAATTAGGGGTAGGGGTAGGGATTTATTGTTTGGTGTCCGGTTGTGAGGAAGACTTAGGTGGTGTACAGAACAAAGGCAATCACACTGAGCAACACTACTGCTTGACCATCTACTGTGGAACTCACGTAGATCTTCAGTAGCAACGGAATGACACCGTCAACTGATTCAATTCCTTGATCGGTTGAAGTTGAATTGGGATCAAAGGTTTGGCCGGTAATATCTTCGCCTTAGTGTGAGTTAATCTTCTGATCCTATATTGTGAATTTCCCATTGTCGATCCCATACCGTTGCATGGCTTGTCGAGATCCTCGGGCATCTCGGGTATGTTCAACATGGGAGTTGGATCAAGCGGGGAGTTTGCTCGAGCGGAGACTGTGCTCGAGCACGCACTTGGATCGAGTCGCTCGAGCGATGAAATACCATCATTAACTATCATTAAATTGTCATGTAATACATTATTGACATATAGCGCAGCTCGAGCAATTCACCGACTCGAGCCGGCGTTGAGACCGGGGCCGCTCGAGAATACCTGGGCAGGATTCATGCTGCATAGGTGACTACGCTTAATGTGTGTAGGTCAGCATAGGTCAACATAGGTACCTGCACTTAGCTAGAAAGACTAATTGCATGCTTTAATATGTCTCTTCACCTGCGCAACACCTACAAGGGGTTTCCGCCGCGTTGCCAGGACATCCAATAATAGGGGCAGTCAGAGTAGAGGATTATGGTCAGATTATACACAAGGATTCTCGACGGATTATTGAATTGTTTATCGTGGGATAATCCTCTTAAATCCATAATCCTCCATAATCCTCGAACCGCCTCCGGAGGCGATTATGCAAGGATTGTGGATTATGGATTCTGATGGTGCAAAGTTGGATTCAAGTGGAATCCATAATCGCGCCATATTCCAAAGCATTTTTGAGGCCGGTCAAAATTGAAGAGATTATGGTGGGGATTATGGAGGGATTATTGTCTTTTAAAATTCGATAATCCTTTGCAGAATCCCACCACAATCCTTCCTTAATCCTCTACTCTGACTGCCCCTAATGATTATAATCAGGTTTACGCTCTCGCTTAACCTCAGCGTGAAAAAAATCTGGAGCTCCGAGTTTTCTCCGCCCACGTCTCTTCTTTTCACGCATTTTCTCAACCCAAAGCTTGAAAATCATTTTATGTGGCTAGGGTCACTCTGCGCAGCTGAGTGTAGATGCAACGGTGCACGGCGCAGAAACAGCTGTCACTTGCAGCCCGGGTTTCTGTTGTCATCGAATGGCCACATGAGCTGTCCCTTGCCAAGGGGAACTCGGGATTCGAAAGTCGGAAGGGGGGTCGATAAGTTTTTTCAGCCCAACCTAGACTCCCCCCCCGTACTATATAGGGAAGGTATTTCCCACCCCTGGCGCCGGACCGCTCCCCCCAGCATTCCGGCTGCTCACCGGATCTAGTTCAGACCCTTCAACAACTTGATTTTAATGTTTGAGGTACATGCCATGGTCCTAGAACCTATCTATAATGCTGCTAGACATTCGAGTAGACCTCCAGAAATTTGTTGAATCTCACCCCAAGACCACTTGAAGACACCGTTTTGGTTGAACTTGGGTGGAAATATTGTCTTGACATGTCCTAAAGCAAGTAGGAAGCAGAATTCGGAGTTTTTCACCTACCAGGAGCTCTACCATGCTTCTCCCAGCCCTTTTCTCCCTTCCCATAACTTATAGTAAGAAGTTTTTTTCAGCCTCGGCCAGACCCCCCCCTTCCCCCCTTCCGATATTTTAATCCCGAGTTCCCCTTGTCCCTTGCTTAAATCCGACCCCTTCCCCTTTAGTTGAGTGGATGGCCTTTGAGATGGGCACGATGAAGTCATGTGTTTTCGGCTCTTTCCGGGAAATAAATGATGTTCAACTCAGAATTTTGGCTGTGTGTTTTTTGCCCATGCAAATATTCACATGGTTGGTGTGAATGGAAGTAACATGTAAGACCAGGCTATCCAAAATCCTGAAGCAAACATCGAAAGACTCTGCAAAAACATGCCCCGAAGAATGAAAATACAAAGCATATATTCATTCAAACCAATACATGCAGACTACATACACGGTTGTCACCCCTTGGACTCGGGCTCGCTTTATGATGCGCCTCACGAGTTCACTTATTGTTTTCTTGTGTTACTCGTTTCTGTTGTCCTTTCTCTTTGAAATCGGTTCAA